TTTGAAAAAAGGGGCAGATATAATAAGATTTTTTCTTCTTTCTGCTGCCTTTCATTTTAAATCTTTTGAATCTTTTTTATATTGTTATGGAATTGTTTTGTACTTTTTTAAAATGAATAAACTTTATACCATACCATACATAGCGTGCACAGCTGCAATGCGTCAAACCTAACATTTGTTTGTGCGTTATAGAGATGCACCTGCAGGTCACCCGTTATCCACCCAGCGCCTGTCACACTGGCCGTGTGAGGCCATTTCTGAAGCCTACAAAGCATCAGATTTAGAGCCTCCTGTCAACCTCAGGGCGCACTCGATCAGAGGTATCGCATCTTCGACTGCCTTGCATAATGGTATGACAATGCAGGACATTAGCACTGCGGCCGCGTGGTCAACACCCTGCTCATTCATTCGCTTTTATCTACGTGATGTGACGGCTCATTCCATGACACATTCTGTCCTTAGTGTTTTAACAGAATGATTATTGTCGTTTCATGGAACTCTGTTTAACTCACATCTATCTGCATGCATTACAGTGTGAGATGTTGTTATCAGTCACAAGTTGTGACTGTTATTTGGTTCTGTTGTCACTAATCAGTTCATGACTATTGTTACCAATCAGTTCATTTGATTAATAATCAGCTCTCCTGTTATTATTAATCTGTTCATACTGTTCAGCCGTAAACCAGTTGGTTCATGGCTACTTTCAGCATTTGTCCCTCCCCGTTGAAAGTTTTCCGGGGCGTTCATGCATTCAGAACGCATAGTTACACTACATGCGTCTGTGCATGGTACACATAATTACGCAATGCGTAATTACGCACATGGGAGCTGAGTGACAAGACGTTTTTTGGGAAAGCTTCTGCTTCATACGGTGTTCGAATGGACCCAGTGAGGCGAGGACCACATCTGCTTCGCCCTTAACCCATCAGCAACCGCCTTAAAGGGCGAAGCCTATATGAAATAGAACGTTGGTTACGTACTGTAACCCCAGATTCTATGAGTATAGGCTTTAAGCATTGGGCCTCACTGGCTCCTAAATGGCTGAAGAAAAAGCTATTTGGGAGCCAATTACCTGCTCTTAGCGTAATTTATACAGACTGGGTGGGGCCCACACAGCAGGTGGGCTTGGACTAAACTTTTCAGTGTAATGCTTTGCATATCGGGATAAAACCCATCAGCAACAGCCTTAAAGAGCTACGCCTATACTCATAGAATCTGGGGTTACAGTACGTAACCAACGTTTATTTTAGTATTTATATACAAGTAACGGTGTTTTATAAACTCTTCCCACACTCTTGCAATGTTCCTAACAATTTTTTAAATTCTTAAACCTTTTAAAAAATATTAATCTATATGTCCTGATGCATGCTCAACAATCCAGGTAGAAACATCTAAAAAAGTTAAATCTGGTCCTCTGGACATTCAAAAACATTTTGTTTTTGTTTTTTTTTAATCTAAATGGGTACTCACCAGAGAAGATGAAGAAGAGATGGAGATGAAGAATTAGCTGTCCAGTGATGATGATGAAGGTGATGAAGATGAGATGAAACCAGGTGTTTTGGCTTCATCCTACATATTAAAAGTGTGAGATGGCATCCTCTTCCAGAACAGGCATGTTGCGTCCACGTTAAAACCTTTTTCAGACCTGTAGACCCCTCGGTGATCAGATCTTTGAACTCATGTTAACAAACACCTCAGCTCCTGCTGGATCAGCGGACGCAGCCTCTCTGTGCAGAGAAACACTTTTTAATCCAAATCCTTCCCCACTCCTCATTTACATCGCCATGTCTCTTCCTCCGTGCTGCTTGCTAACAGATGATAAAACGGTAAAGTTGTTTCACCTTTGGTGTTGGTATCAAAAGTGGTGTTGTTTTCTTCTTCTGCAGTCATTAATCCACGAGACCACTGCAGCTTGCACAAATATGCTGTGAGCGGCCGGCAACAGCCGCTCTTAAAGTTTGTCCAGAAGTTGCACTTTCTCTTTAATCGACAGCATCTTCCACTGGCGTGTCTGTTCGCCACCGGAAACGTTTGAAAACAAACGTTTGGGAGCTGTCCAGTTGAGAAATAGAGATGAATAAACCCCAGTGCTAAGTGTGTTAGCGACCGTCTGCTAGTGTCACAGCCAGTCAGCGGCCGAGTTACTAAGTATTTTGGTTACAAAGCATTTCTGACATTTGGGTTCGCTGCCAGAGACTTTTGAACGCACAGAATGTTTAGAAAACATAACTCGTAGTAACACTTTAAGTTTAGTTGAAAAAGAGCGATGGTAACCAGACGGTCACAGCCAATCGGTGCCCGGGTCACCGGGTCAACGCTCTATTTCTTAGAGAAATGTCCTCACATGATTTACACGTTTTTTTTAAATCTTATGTTTGTAAAGTTTAATTTTCTTTAAAAACGACAACAACAACAAAAAAGCTTATCCATGTGGCATGAATTAAATTTTACTCTTGAAAGGCCGGTTCAGCAGTTGAGCCGTCATTTCTAATCTGAGCCCTAAGCCCGGCCCCACCCGACATAAATTTAGGGCGGGCCATGATAATGTGCTGGACGGGTGAGCCAGGTCAGTGTCTGGCTTTTAATTGGGTCAGGATCAGCCACGATCCAGTTATATGATAACATGGCCTGCCATACAATCACCAGCTGCGCGCGGCCATTTCACCGCGAGCTGACCGGTCTTAAGAGGTCAAAAGTTCAGTTAAGCTTCAGATGGGACTATACTGCCAGGAAGTGATCCATCACCCAAATGGATGTTCATTCAGCTGCTGCACCCAGCGGACGTGCGCGCCCGATGACCCAAACAGGTGAGATCTCAAAGCAGAGGTGTCGGAGCGTTCCGTGAATAATGCAGAATGCAGCAGATACAGGGTTTAAATGTTATTTTACGGCCATGAAAGCACAAACACCCCCTCAGCTCCGATCTTCTGCCCCTTGATTCAGCCACACATCTCCGATTGTTAATAACTAATTAAAAATGTCGGGTTTTTTCCAGGTTCGGACCTATAATTACTGTTAATTTGTTGGGTCGGTTGGGGTTTGAAAATGATGACTGTGGGCTGGGTCCGGGTCGGATAGGACTTTTTGGAGCCGAATGCAACTTTATTCAGCAGTCATGACTTCACTTTGCAAAAGTACTGTTTGGCAGAAAACGGTGCCCAGAAGCACTACAGTACAGCACAGCAATGACTCAAGGGCAATGTAGTCCTTATGAGTGGTGATTACAGTACAGTGAAGGCTGAATGAGAGAAAACTACATAATTGTCAGAATTATTATTTTTTGTCATTAACTTTTTCACATCCACATGGGTGCAGTGATATTAAATGGAATGGTAAATGGACTGTACTTATTTAGCTCCTTTCTATCTGATCAAGACACTCAAAGCTCTTTACAACAATCTGTGCCTCATTTACCCATTCATACAGCTCTATACTAGATCTGTACAGAGAATAATCAGAGCTTTGTCACATTCATACACCGATGGGACACACATCAGAGACAATGAGAGGTTCAGTGTCTTGCCCAGGGACACTATGGCATGTGACCGCTGGTGGAATCAAACCCCAACTCTTGGATTGGAGGACGATGGCTCTAACCACTCAGGCACAGCCGCCCCACAAAGGATGAAATCTGGACACTTACTGGGCCTTTGCTTGATTTTACTTTCTTTGGGATTGTTGTTCTGTTGCTTCTGGACCCAGTTTAGCCCAAGCTTCTGGTTTTAAAACACTCTGGTCTACAGAGGAGTTCATGGTTGACGCAGGGACAGCAAGGTGCCCCTGTTCTGTAGCTGCAACCCCCCCCCCCCCCCTCCCCGACCATTAGCCCCCAACACCATGCGTCATAAGAGGTTGTTTGTGGCATTATAGTTTCATATTTAGAAAAGGATTTCTCCTAGCATCTATTGATGGACTAAAGGTACACTTGGCTTTCACCACCTGTTTTCCACATTTGGCTTAAATTTAGCCAATAAATTATGTTAAATATTCTTGTATCTACCTAATTTTAAGCTTTGATGGGGCCTTTTCTTTTGACTTTGTGTGAAGTTTTAGACTTTTATAAAGAGTATACATTTTACTGAGTGGATTTTCTTGTATATAACTCGACCCGTTTTTTGCTCTCTAAATGAAAAACCAAATTACTATGAATCATTCAGTTGTTCTTTATGTTTGGCTTTAGATTTTCATTCATTATAAAAGTGATCAGTTGATTATTATTTTTTTATCCATTCTGTCTTTGCCTTGGTTACTAATAATTTTGTAATAAGTTTTGTTTTTTTGGTTGGTGTTATTTGTGTCACTGCACAGATCATATGATACAAGAGTGAAACTTGATCATTAGTTGGTAATTAAAGTTCATCTTAGTTTAATGAATAAATTATTATTAATAATAATAACCCAATCATTGCTTGTAAAACAAGAGTTTTGGGACAAGAACAGAGAAATATTTAAAGCAGCTAAAACTTAGAAAACAAAAAGTTGGTCTGTTAAATATAAAAAAATATTGGAAGCACGTCCCATGGAGGTAATGAAGTGTGTTTAACTCCCCGAGGATTAATCACTCTTGTTTAGTTGAATTCCCACAATCCTTCACTCTAGTTAGGATGAGATTGATGCAGACCACCATGCCTCCCTGTCCCAGTTCTAATGAACGCTACTGTCTGCACATGGATTCCATGGAAACGTTAGCTTTTTGTTAGAAAAATATGATGTTTAGGGACTTTTGTTTCAATCTTCGTTAAATTTACTTTGGAATGCTGTCTTTGTACTCTGCGTAGATTCTGCCATATCAGCTTCACTGCATTTTGTTTCATCATTGCTTGCCATGCATCGCTTGTCTTTGCCTGTTTTTGCTCCTAGGATGAACGCTCACTAATCTTTTCACAGCTACTAACAACAACGCTTCTGTCAGTGCAGGTTAATCTGTCTACTTTTATTTGTATACAGAATTTTCTGTGTGATTTCCTTCCTCGTTGTTCTCCCTGTCTTTCACTACACAGCGTCTATAAAGAAACTTCAGGAGCAGAATGAGTCTCATCAGGTCAGCAGAGCTAAAATGGCCGAGGGCATGTCTTTAGCTCTGGAGAAGAAGGACCAGGTAAATGTTGCTCTCTCTCTTTTGCCTGTTATTCAGTGTTGAGTTGTAGGCCATGTTCTAACCGTGTTTCTTCGTTTTTACAGGAATGGATGGAAAAGATGGCTGGTTTAGAAGAAGTAAGTTCTCAAATTTTTCTTTGTGTTGTGCATGTTTATTAAACTAAGACTAGATATCTAAAATAATTTGACACAACACATTTCAACCATTTGTAAGTTTATTTTAAGCCTTTGAACTCCTGACCAGTGGTTCAGATGAATTTTAGTGTATTTAATTTACTTTAGATTTCTTCTTTAGCTGTGTCAGTGACGTGCGGTGAGCTGTGTGACAGGTGAGGCACTGACTGTCTGGAATCGGATGCTCACATACAGGTCCTTCTCAAAAAATTAGCATATTGTGATAAAGGTCATTATTTTCCATAATGTAATGATAAAAATGAAACTTTCATATATTTCAGATTCATTGCACACCAACTGAAATATTTCAGGTCTTTAATTGTTTTAATACTGATGATAATGGCATACAGCTCATGAAAACCCAAAATGCCCGTCCCAAAAAATTAGCATATCATGAAAAGGTTCTCTAAACAAGCTATTAACCTAACCATCTGAATCAACGACGTAACTCTAAACACCTGCAAAAGATTCCTGAGGCTTTTAAAAACTCCCAGCCTTGTTCATTACTCAAAACCGCAATCATGGGTAAGACTGCCGACCTGACTGCTGTCCAGAAGGCCATCATTGACACCCTCAAGCAAGAGGGTAAGACTCGGAAAGAAATTGCTGAACGAATAGGCTGTTCCCAGAGTGCTGTATCAAGGCACCTCAGTGGGAAGTCTGTGGGAAGGGAAAAGTGTGGCAGAAAACGCTGCACAACGAGAAGAGGTGACCGGACCCTGAGGAGGATTGTGGAGAAGGGCCAATTCCAGACCTTGGGGGACCTGCGGAAGCAGTGGACTGAGTCTGGAGTAGAAACATCCAGAGCCACCGTGCACAGGCGTGTGCAGGAAATGGGCTACAGGTGCCACATTCCCCAGGTCAAGCCACTTTTGAACCAGAAACAGCGGCAGAAGCGCCTGACCTGGGCTACAGAGAAGCCGCACTGGACTGTTGCTCAGTGGTCCAAAGTACTTTTTTCGGATGAAAGCAAATTTTGCATGTCATTCGGAAATCAAGGTGCCAGAGTCTGGAGGAAGACTGGGGAGAAGGAAATGCCAAAATGCCAGAAGTCCAGTGTGAAGCACCCACAGTCAGTGATGGTCTGGGGTGCCATGTCAGCTGCTGGTGTTGGTCCACTGTGTTTTATCAAGGGCATGGTCAATGCAGCTAGCTATCAGGAGATTTTGGAGCACTTCATGCTTCCATCTGCTGAAAAGCTTTATGGAGATGAAGATTTCATTTTTCAGCACGACCTGGCACCTGCTCACAGTGCCAAAACCACTGGTAAATGGTTTACTGACCATGGTATTACTGTGCTCAATTGGCCTGCCAACTCTCCTGACCTGAACCCCATAGAAAACCTGTGGGATATTGTGAAGAGAAAGTTGAGAGACGCAAGACCCAACACTCTGGATGAGCTTAAGGCCGCTATCGAAGCATCCTGGGCCTCCATAACACCTCAGCAGTGCCACAGGCTGATTGCCTCCATGCCACGCCGCATTGAAGCAGTCATTCATGCAAAAGGATTCCCGACCAAGTATTGAGTGCATAACTGAACATGATTATTTGAAGGTTGGCGTTTTTTGTATTAAAAACACTTGTCTTTCATTGGCGGGATGAAATATGCTAATTTTTTGGGACATGCATTTTGGGTTTTCATGAGCTGTATGCCATAATCATCAGTATTAAAACAATTAAAACCTGAAATATTTCAGTTGGTGTGCAATGAATCTGAAATATATGAAAGTTTCATTTTTATCATTACATTATGGAAAATAATGACCTTTATCACAATATGCTAATTTTTTGAGAAGGACCTGTATATGAACCCAAGATAGAAGCTGATATTTCAATTTAGCCTTTTTTCTTTTGCAAAGGCATCTAATTATGCTTTTAAAAACTCCATACTATTCAACAGTGATGGCAAGAAAAACAAACTATTTAATGTAATGTCAAAATATTTTTTTGGGGGGTCCTCTCATTTTAAATAAATTTTGAAAAACGTGTACCAGTATTATCTTACCTTTATTTTAAGATTAAATCCATGCACCTGTCCTTCTCTACAAATATCTCTGTTACTCTGTTGTAAAACTTTTCGTGGTTTGCCTTCATTTTTAAAAGTTTGGTTGCTTTAATGGAGGTATTTGCCAAGGAGGAGTCTTTAATGCCTTCTTTTTCGACTGAAAATCAAGTATAGAAAAATCCTTTAGTTTTATTTCTTATAGGCTTCGCCCTTTAAGAGCTGTTGCTTAGTCAGTTTTATCCCGTCATGCGAAGCATTACACTGAAAAGTTTAGTCCACGCCCACCTGCTGTGTGGGCCCCACCCGGTCCGTATAAGTTACGTTGAGAGCGGGTAATTGGCTCCCCAGTTTTCTTCAGCAATCTAATAGCACTGACTTTCAACAAGATGTCCAGCTCCAACACCATCCACTTGTGTCCGTCCTGCAAGACCGGCTACTTGCTCAGTTTTGACCGGCACGACACCTGCGAAGGATGCCTGGGTCCCCGCCACATCGCCCGCGCTTCCTCCTGCTGCCTCTGTGACGACCTTCTTCCGGAGGAAAGGCAGAGGAGAGCAGCCTTGTTTAAGGCTAACCTCGAGGACTGCCTGTCCGTGGCAGGAGACTGATCGCTGAACAATGCGATCGACTTCTTCGTCGCCGGCTCTCGGAGCGAATCGGATGGTTCCTCTGGGACAGGCGACATCAGCAGCAGCCCTGATGCTTGCTCCGTCCCGGAGAGCGTAATGTTGGAACGAGGGGGGCCGAGCGGATGCTCAACCCCTCCGGGCTTTCCTGCCTCAACGGCCACATCGCTCCCTGCCGTCGGTACCCTCCTCTCAGAGCTGCCTGACATTATCCGGGAAGCTGCTGACATGAAGGGACTTTCTGTCCCTCTCCTCCCCCCGCCCAGATCGGATGATCTAGCGGGAAGGTTTGGCTCCACTCCGGCTTGCCGTCCTGATCCCATCTGGCCTCAGTTTCCAGCGGTGGCGTCCTATTGGAACGAGGCCGCGGCCGGTCCTAGTAAATTGAGAGCGCCCGTCTCCACTTTCGCTCCCATCACCAGAGTGGAGGGGTTCACCGAGTGGAACTTTCCCTCAGTACCCCCCCGGAGCCGAGCCTGGCGGAAGCTTTCGGAGTGAAGCTGTCCAGGTTGGAGCAGTGTCCCGTCCCTCCTGGGAAACATGACCAGACGGTGACCACGCTCTCCAATCGAGCTCACCAGTGTGCGTTTCAGGCAGCCGCAGCAAACAACGTGGCGCTGTTGGCATACAGCGTGTCCAAGAGGCTGGAGGCCGCAGATCTGCCTGAGGAAACGAAGAGCTCCCTTTGCAAGGCATCTGACGCCATTCTCAACATGTGCGCCTCTTCTGCGGTCTGCCTATCCAGAATTGCAGCGTGGATGACAATGATTCAGTGGTCCACCTGGCTTCGTCATTCTCCTTCTCTGCTGGAAAAACTGCACAGAGACCTGATGGAGGGCCCAATCACGGCAGACGCGCTGTTCGGGAGCAGTTTCAAGGCCATGTTGGAAAACTTCAAAAAGTCGGAGGAGGTGTCAGAGACTGTGCGCCACCTCAAGAAGTCGCACGGCTCATCCCGCCCCCCGGCCCGCTGGAGGGATCGTCGTGAGCAGAGACGGCAACAACGACGTTCCATGGCCGCGGCAGCGTCGTCTCGCTCAGTTCCACCGCCAGCCCCGCCCGTCAGAGACCAGCCCTCTTCATCCCGGCAACCGGCAGTTCAGCGTTTTCCCAGAGATCGCCAACAGGTGTCATCCTGGGCCAACAAATCACAGAGCTCACAGGGGAAAAGATTAAAAAAATGACGGTTTGCGGAGGGTGTGTATAAAAATGACACTAGTGTTGAAATAAAACATGAACATCATTCAATGATGAAAGTGTCTGTTTTTAGCCAGTCTGTAAGCTCGGATGAACTCACATCAGCTGCGCACACATCCTCCACACAAAACGAGCCGGTGTCCTGAAAAAAAGGGTTTTCAAAATCACAGTTTCTCCAAAACGAGACGGGACGCTCGCATGACACAACAGTCGTAAGCGAAGTAACTCGTTTTCAGCCCGAGCTGCACAATCCTCACCGAAGTGGTGTCAAACGCACACTCGCGAGATGCGAACAGCCTTCACCCAAACGGCGCCGCGTTGATGAAGGCGTTCACACAGCTCCCCGGCTTTCACTGGCTCACATCGGGATGAATGTGAGGCCGCAAGACAGGTCTGGTGAGAGACCTCGCTCTCAGCGAGAGCGACACGCGCGTCCCACCAAAGAAAACACGTGCTCCTGTGGGGCTCGCAGCCTTCACTCAAGCGGCAGGGCGTGGATGAAGTCGCGCACACTACTTCTCAGCGCTTGCCCGATCATGTCAGCATAGATGCGAGATCGCAAAGCAAGTGCAGTGCAGGACCCTGCTCACGGCAGGAGCGACACGCATTTCACAGCAGTGGTGTCAAATGCGCGCCCCCGTGGCGTCATCAGTTTTCACACACACCTCCTCAACACACGCCGGTCCACATAGACATGAATGTGGACCCGCGGTCCGAGCGCAGCACACAGGCGCGCTCAGAGCCCTTTCGAGGAAGCCTCACCTTGGGTCACGCGGAACACATTCCCACGACACATGACGGCGGTCGAGGCGGTGGACTGAATGACATCCGTACAAAACATGATGCATCACCTAAATGCGCGCCCACTCCACGAATGATAAGCGGAGTGGCTGCGAACATGCTCACCAGACACATGGATGACCAGGTTGTTAAGCAGGGGTTACACGCTGCAATTTGCAACCCGACCCCCTCCGTTTGGAGGATTTTTAGAGATTGTCCTGTCATCACCAGACCAAGTCTCATTCCTAAATGCAGAAGTCCAAGAACTTCTGGTAAAAGAGGTGATCTCCAGGGTTCCTGATAGAGAAGAAAACAGGTTTTTACTTGCTTCCTGG